GTGCCTAGTCCTACATTGTAGCTGACTGACTGACTAAAACAGTTGCATATATATGCCTCCTGAAACGTTGCGATATATATACATCGAAACATCGTAATGTTTTTCGTTGTTCTGAAGTTCTACTCTACAAAAACTTGTTTAATTTTTATTCATCATGATTTTAAACAGAAATTAATCTCATCTAATTTCAAGTATTTTTTTACTTTTATCGATGTTCAGATATAGATCACTAGGTGTAGCTAGTAGTTTTAAAATTCTTTATAATTTGTTTATTTTGTAGAAACGTTGTTTCTAAGCGTCAATAACTGACTACATGTTCTGTCTAATTTGACATTGGTTCCAAAGAAACAATCAGTTGGAAATGTCAGTTTCTATTCGCAACCATAAATTTGAAACTTTCCAATACAATATAGTATGGAGATTTTGTGGATTTAATTATTTGTTAAATGCCAAAAACTGTTTTGTCGGACACTGAAGTAGTAGGGCTAAGATAAGTTCAAATATAACGTTAATATATAATGTTTTGTCAATAGTCGACGCCCAATTCCTGTCAAACTATTCGTCCTAATATTGACAAGTATTCATAAAAATAAGGCCTCTGTTTTTACCTAGCACAAAGAACACTGCAGTTACAAAAGACTTAGATTTTAATGAGAAAGCTGATTCATACAGGAAGCTAAACTCTATGTCGAGGATCTTTCACCGTTCTTCTGAACGGCAGCATCAACACAAAATTCAGGTGGGAGTGAAGTATTTGAATTTTTCCACATACGACTAACAGCTTGTCTTATCGACTTCGATCTTACTGATTATTGTTGACCTTCAACCTGTCAGTGTCGGTATTCTTATATGACTGTATCTCCATTTGAGCTGATTTTCGGTTCAATGTTTATCCATGATTTTTCTGACTGATAAATGAATTCGATCGATTTCGGTGTGTTTGCTGATCTCTGTTTGACATGCGTGCTAAGCTTCTAAAAATTGCTTGATGTCCTTAGTATTCCCTCTATCTAAGATTTTAATATTTTCCAGTCGAATGTGTTTCTACAATAAGGCAGATTGATGTAACAGCCTTATTCACATGGGTCAAACTAAAGCTAGCAAAGGAAAGTCTAACTCCTCTCCTCACTAACTACACAAATTTCCCAAAATACACAGAGCTCCATAGCCAAAGTATACTAGGACTCATCGATTTATGCTTAGAACTCATGAGTTCTAATCACTATTTCAATGTTGTGAAACTTTCCCTTCCAAACTTTATTCGGAACAAAATTTTATGACCTCATTAACTCTATCGGAATCTTCACTACATCATGATAAATATATATCCATCTTTAATTACCCTCGTATGTATAAGTATGTCGATATCTATAATAACTTTGACTTTCAAATATTTTAGGTTGTAAGCAGCTGATGAGAACCTAACGAAATAAAGTGAATTCATATTATTCTGCACCAATCTTTTTTCTTGCTCTATTTAAGATAATAAAGGGAACTATGTTTATGAAATTCTTAATTAGTGATAACACGATTACTGACAACAATCAGTCATATGATACGACAATAGAAGAACCTTGTAACCAAATGCTGGTAATCTTGTCTAGAAAAACAGAAAATAATAGGGAAAAACAAAGAAATGAGAATTATTTCTCATGATATACTGATACTCGATTTTTAGATTTCACACGTTTCATAGGATCTCCTCTTAGGTTTCCAGAGGCAAGGCGTTTAAAAAACTCTATAATACCTAGCTCTAATAACAAAACTCCACCAAAATTATGACTTAGTATCATAGCCTTTATAAAAAACTTTTATTTCAGTATGCTTATGTCTTATATTACTCATGAGACAAAAATATATATAGTTGTTTGGATTATTACATTGATGTTTAGGACCGCAGTTGATCAGTCTCTTATCAGTATATATGCTTCCTTTGCGCATTACCTAAATATTACCTTAAATTACAAGCATTATAAACAAATATGGATAGTGGCTAGTAGTGGAATTCGTCCGATGAGTCCCAAATAGAACGAAACGCGGGTCTTGAATTTTGCCGCTAACCGATATTTATCTCCCCTTAAAATATTTGAAACACTCCGAGTTTTTGAAAAAATTTGACAGTCTTGTTAATGGATCACATTTAATTCATTTTGTTTTGTCAAAATACTTTTTAGCGAAAACACAGATTCTGGTTCATACACAAATACAAGAAACTAAATCCATAATTTTTAAGCAAAGATGGATAGTGTCTAGCAGTGGAACTCAGAACGCGCGTTTCGTCTTATTCGGGACTTGTCAGCTGGATGCGCCTGCATCCCAGAGCTGATGTTCACTCTGGGAGTCGGACCCAGTAACGTTAGTTTTAAAAGCCATCGCGTTATCCACTTAGCTGCTGAGTCCTGATAGTCACTTGCTTGTGCAATGGGGTGAAGTTTAAACTCACTTGGTGTTGTTTTACTTGTATCTTCCCATTGTTATTTATTATTATTATTGTTATTTTATCATTACATTTTGAGTGAATTTCTTTTTTTAATTGTCTTAATATGTTCTGATAACTGTTAGTTTAAATATTTTTATTTTTTCGTTATTCAACACTACTATCAAACACTGAATTATCTTTCAATAATGTTTGGTGTCTGTTCACTTTCATTCCTAAACATTATTGTAAACAAAAAGAATTAGTAGAAAATTGTATTTCTGACATTTCGCAACTTAATGTAAGTCGCTTCTTCAGAATAAATAAATAATCGATATAAAACTAATAAGTTTAAATAATACAAAAGAAACAGTGATCATTATACACTATAGAAACCCTCCTACAATGAATTTAGATTATGGTTAAATTTTGTCAAGCTTTTTTATTAACTTATTTAACAGATATTGTTATACGTAGCGGCAAATGCAAGGATACTCCACATTCTCTTCAATGAGATTTGGGATGAGGAACAAGTACCAACAGACTGGAAAGAAGAACTTCTGGTCAAAATACCAAAGAAAGGCGATCTCAGCAACTGTGAGAACTACAGGAGCATCACTCTTCTCTCAATACCGTGAAACGTCTTCAACAGGGTATTGTTAAACAAAATGAAGGACTGCGTAGATGCCCAACTTCGTGACCAACAGGCAGGATTCCGTAAGGATAGATCATGTACAGACCAAATCGCAACTCTACGGATCATTGTGGAACAATCAATTGAATGGGATTCATCACTCTACATCAACTTCATTGACTACGAAAAGGCATTTGATAGCGTGGACAGAACAACACTATGGAAACTTCTTCGACACTACGGCGTGCCTCAGAAGATAGTCAATATCACACAGAATTCATATGATAGATTACACTGCAAAATTGTGCATGAAAGACAGTTGACAAAGTCGTTCGAAGTGAAGACCGGTGTCAGGCAAGGTTGCTTACTCTCACCCTTTCTCTTTCTCCTGGTGATCGACTGGATCATGAAGACGTCAACATGTGGGGGACGTACGGGATACAGTGGACATCTATGATGCAGCTGGAGGATCTATACTTCGCAGATGATCTGGCCCTTCTATCCCAAACGCAACAACAGATGCAGGAGAAGACGAACAGTGTGGCAGCAGCCTCAGCAGCAATAGGTCTCAATATACACAAAGGGAAGAGCAGGATTCTCCGGTACAACACAGCATGCATCAATCCAGTCACAATTGACGGAGAAGATTTGGAAGATGTAAAAACCTTCACATATTTGAGCAGCATCATTGATGAACACAGTGGATCTGATGCAGATGTGAAGGCGCGGATCGGCAAAGCAACAGCAGCATATTTACAACTGAGAAACATCTGGAACTCAAAGCAACTGTCAACCAACACCAAGGTCAGGATTTTCAATACAAATATCAAGACAATTCTACTGTATGGGGCAGAAACCTGGAGAACTACGAAAGTCATCATCCAGAAAATACAGGTGTTTATTAACAGTTGTCTACGCATAATACTTCAGATCCATTGGCCGGACACTATTAGCAACAGCCTACTATGGGAGAGAACAAACCAGATCCCAGTGGAGGAAGAAATCAGGAAGAAGCGCTGGAAGTGGATAGGACACACATTGAGGAAAGCACCCAACTGCGTCACAAGACAAGCCCTTACATGGAATCCTGAAGGCCAAAGGAGGAGGAGAGGAAGACCAAAGAACACATTACGCCGGGAAATGGAGATAGACATGAGAAAAATGAACAAAAATTGGATGGAATTAGGAAAGAAGGCCCAGGACAGAGTGGGTTGGAGAATGCTGGTCGGCGGCTTATGCTCCACTGGGAGCAACAGGCGTAAGTAAGTAAGTGTTGTTATGCGAACAGTAACTATTCGTATATTTCTTCGTGCTATTATGATTACTATCATATCTGTATAAACGTGCACGCTTGATCACATGATAGCCTATGCACATCTCTTTGTCTAGCTGAAATGTTGATAGCTTAAATATTGCTCAACGAGTCACTGTCTTTACCAATGTATATATGTGCTCGAATCCTATTAATAGCTTTCTCTTTGCCGTACCTAGCTGCAACATTAATCGATTTGTCTATAAATTTGCCTCTGTATTTGCTCGTTAACATATTAGATTCTCTGCTCTGCTTGTAACTTTTTTATCAGTGTTATTCGCTAATAAACTGTAGTTACCGATTCTTATTAACTTCTGAATTCAAACACTATTGGAATTTATACAATAACGATTAACAATGTGAATAACTAACCGATAAAGAAATTCATAAATTTTAAGAAAACATTTTTAACTTTTGATTTAGTGTTTTTATATTTGAAATTTGATCATTCATTGAACATTCATATTAAGAATTAGTTATCATTAGAATCATTAAATTTATGAATGGGAATGATAAATGAAAGTATTTAATTTTAACCAATCAAAACATTATTAAAACTATATTTTCATTGGTCAGTTCAAATAACCAATCATTTATTCATAAATCATATTTTTATATTCTCCCTTTATATTATTTTCATAATACTTTTATTTACATAATTTTGATAGAACTATAATAAAAATGTTTTCTATTCGATAAAACTTGTTATTTTGATGACAAAATAATTTTAAAAAAACTTTAAAAGAAAGAAAATTAAGTTCAGTGGATCATTTTTTTATTATTCACTTTATGTTCCCTTTCATAAAATTATGGATTACCTCAGTAAATATTTGGATTAGCTCATATAAAATCTAGTGACTTTATTAATGATAAAATGAATTAAGAATAAAAAAAAACATTATGAGCACAAGATTCAGTTCACCAGTTTTTTTGGACACATGTAATCATTATAGTCATAAAGATCGAAAATATAAAAAGAATATCTTTGAAGTAAGAGTTAATGAACCAATTGATGTAGAAATGAAAAATCATCCAGTTTACAATATTGATCCTGGTGGATGTAGTAGTACAGCCGATGAGAGCGTAACGAATGATTCATATAATAAACCATGGGAGTCTAGCAATATAAATACAGGGGATTATCCATATCATTGTGACACGGATCTGGAAGTATGCAGTCAATCAAATTGTATTGATGTATATAATAATAATAATTGTGATTACAAAAAATTGCCACATAATACATCAACAGGATTTAAACACTTTCTTGCTCCCCCACCTCAGGAATGTACACAAAGAAGAACATCACTTCATGGCAAAACAATAACAATACGTATAAGTCGTAATGAGACTAGATATCGAAAATTGCAAGCTAAAATTTATAATTTTCTTGAAAGACCAAAAACATGGCCTTCTGTAATATATCATGTGTTCGTGTAAGTTGAAATTTCCATCTTGTCATATTTCTATTTAATAAGATTAATAGCACATTGAAATATGTTTTATCATTCTTAATATACTATACATTTTCTATTAAGTTTAATCTAGCATGCATATATTCACATATGCCAATAAGAGGCTGATCAATTGCAGTCTTAAGTATCAATAGGAAGATTCAAGTAAACAGTACCAAGTGGATTTAAAACTCACCCCATTGTACAAGCAAGTGGCTATCATGACTCAGTAGCTAAGTGGGTAACGCGATGGCGTTTGAAGTGAACGGTACTGTGTTAGAGTCCCAGAGTGAACATTAACTCTGAGATGTAGGTATATCCAGCTGACAAGTCCCGAATAGGACGAAACGCGAATCCTTGATTCCACTGCTCATGATGCTTGTGAGTTAAGGTAATATCGAGGCGATACGCACAGTATGCACAAATGCCAATAAGAAACTGATCAATTGCAGTCCTAAACATCAATGGGAAGATTCAAGTAAACAATACCAAGTGAATTTAATCCAGTTGTTTCTTTTCAAATTAGGAGCCAGTTTTTAAGTAAACAATTGTAAAACACAATTTAATCATCTAAATTAATGGAAACTAATTTGAAAACTAAGCAAGTATGATAAAATACCATTCTTTTGATAAATTATATAATATATATAGATTGGTTAGTTTTTGTTGAGAGAGAGAGAGAGTTATCAAAAATAATTAGAAATCATGAGTCATTTGAAGCTAGACCACCATGGAATATTTGGAAGCACTGGAAGGCCGTTTCGTCCTATTGTGCGAGTTCTGTGGAGTTCAACCGGGTCTGTTGTGAGTTAGTAAGTCACTGATGATAATGGTGGATGTGTCGCTTAATTTCGTGGATTGATCCAAGTTAAACACTAACACCGTTCGATGCCGGCTCAGTTGTCTAGTGGTTAGGCGTTTACACGCGATACCGATAGGTCCTGAGTTCCAACCTTGCGGGGCGGAATAGTGGATGCGCATTACTGAGGAGTCTCACACCAGGACAAAACGGCCATCCAGCACTTCCAGGTTTTCCATGGTTGTCTAGCTTCAAATAACTCATGATCTCAACTAATGAAATTACCATAATATCCACAAAAACCCATTCTGATACTAATTAGAAAACAGTTTATTAAAATTCCTAATAATAAAATGTAATTTTATATTAAGGTAATTGTTTATTATTATTGTGTAATAAATATAGTTAGCTTAGAGTTATATCCAGGAAACATAAAGCTACATTTCAGTATTGTTTACAATAACAGCTATCTGTCTTATTACCTTCAATTACAAATATATATATTTGAATTAAACTTATGTTTATTTTATATGTCATATGTTACTCAATTATTTATATGATTAGCCATGTTAACTATGCATGATAGAATATCCGTATGTGAAGAGTAATAAAATGCACAATTCGGTTAAAATGATAAAACTAAATTAAAAAACTTGTGATATACATTAACCCTACTCCACATTAGTTATGTAATCAGTATGAAATAACTTATAATAATACAATGTGTTAGGAATCCAGAAAGAAGTTTGGTTAAAATTTATATGCTAATGTTCATTCTGAAATTTTTCATGACGAGTATTTAAACCCTTAGTATTCTAAGTACAACATCTAACATGTTGTGGTATTTCTGGGCTAGTTCAGAAGTGTGATCTATTTTTAAAGTCTCATTTAAGATTATGATTCAATATATACTCTATATGAATTGTATGTAGATTTATGATAATTCACAAAACAGAATATGGTATACATTCCAAATATATATATATAATTATCAGAAATAGGGTTTTTGTCACTGGTAACTGGCTTCAAGAGGTATTTCTTGGAGTTCTAGTGAGAAGCAGTGATCAGTGGAGTTCAACCAGGTTTGTTGTGAGATAGCAGCTCACAGAAAATAATGGTAGACAGTGGCGCAATTTCGTGGATTGGTTGAAGTTAGACATTAACACTGTTGGTTGCAGGCCGGCTCAGTGGTCTGAAGGTCAAGCGTTCACGCACGAGATCGATAGGTTCTGGGTTCAAATCTGGAGAGACGGGATCGTGGGTGCACACAGTTGAGAAGTTCCATACTAGGACGAAACGATCGTCCAGTGCTTCCAAGCTTTCAGTGGTGGTCTAACTTTAATTGACTGATCAATTCAACTATTAAATATATAGTTGTTGATGAAGTACTTTCTGTACAATGATTAAATAAAATTCGCTGACGAAATCTATTGATTAAATCTTTCATAGTGATAAATGGTATGAATAAGTAATGGTAGGAACTTTTCTAATAAGCTAAAGCATTATGATTGATTAATTTCTGGCAGTGTCAGGTTTCTTTATTTTAATCACCAAATACTACTGCTAAGTTAATTTGTTTATTTTGAACTACATTTATAATATGCCAGAGTTTCAGACAAATGCCAGATCGAATAGAATATCACAGGTCATTAGGATGCTTATGAAACAATGTTTGCTTTCGTAATATCAATAGATAAATGACTGGTCTGAATTGGTATTACTGTATTTTTACAGAATTTATGTAAGCTAGAAAGTAGTGATAGGGTAAAAACTCAGTAGAATTACAATTTACATAGGTACTTATTTTAATTATACCACTATGGATTGGTTGAAGTTAGATATTAACACCGATGGATGCCAGCTTCAGTGCTCTAAATGTTAAGCGGTTGCGTGCGAGACCGAAGGTCCTGATTTTGTGTCTCACATGAACGACTGTGGATGCGCACTGCTGAGAAGCCCCATACTAAGACGAAATGGCCGTCTAGTTCTTCCTGCTTTTTCATGGTGGTCTAGCTTTAATTGACTCATGAAATTAACCATTAAATTATACCACTGTTTTAGTAAATTTATACACTTCCAATTAGAAAGATACTGTCCTTTTTCTATGAAATTGTATTACTAAATGTAATTGAAAATATTAACAATTCTAATTAGATTCGTAAATAGATTGAGTAGGTAAAGTGACCTATATTTTGTGTAAGTGTTATTCGGATGTTTGTCGACAAGTTCAGTTTATAAAATATTGATCAACTTAACAAGAACCTTAATGACAATTAATCTCTTATTTTAAAATGAAAATGTGGAACATCTTTATGAATTGATCAATAGTGAATATTCAAAGCTGTATTGTTGTTAACAACAAAAACTGAATAATGTCCGGTATCCTTATGCTTTCTTTATTCATATTTGTACGAAATAATGTTATATTAATGCTACACAATGATGCTTTCATGTAAATAATCCATAAGTCGTGTTTTATCCATTATAAAATGTCTTATGGTTTTAAATGATATTAAGTGGACAATGAAAGATAAATAATATCAAAGACCTAAAACGATATCATTATTTTTGTACTATAACAGTGAAAAACGACTCACTTAGCAACTACATGTAATGATGAATATATGTCCTTAAATTTACCTTTCTTAAAAACCTAATGTTATGTATGATTTACGTGTGAACCCATTTTTGCTTTGTAATGACAAACAACTTAATTGAAACACTATCATGTAAAAGTCATTTGAAACATGTAAAGTTCATTCGGTAAGACTACAAGTGAAGATATTTTGCCTATTTATAACTAATTAATCTTTCTAAACTGATAGTGATTGGTTCATTAAAGAGGAAGAATGTATATGTAAAATCTCAGTGAAAGAATTTAAAATCCAACGTTTTGCCTGGCAATCTGGTCCAATACACTCAGTTATGTATATAGATATAACTGTAGTATATTACTGATGAAGTTAGCACGGCAGATTTTCTCAGGCATTTCATCAGTCAGTCAAACAATCAAATAATTAATGACCTATAACACTTTTTTTAATATGCTACAACCCTCCTCACTACAAACTAAATTTTACCATCATTCATAAAAAGTTTTCTTTTATTAATAAATACCTTAATTCAATCCTTTATAATTTGAAAACAATTGGGAATAGGTTTTTTTCACTTCCCTTTGGCGCCTGATAAGTCAGTTCTCACAGTCTGGAATATATTATTTTGAAGTAATAGTCTGTGTATTATAATCCATGTAATGACTTCATTAAATAAGTAAGATTAATTATATGTCAGTTATCTGACATTTATTTGAACACATAAATGTTGGTACAAAGAGGCACCGAATATATATGCGCCATATAAGTCACTTGATTTATGTATGGGCTGTGATACTGCCTGGGTGCTCAGACCGAAGAAGGTAACATCGAAGACAATTTTATCATTTAAAATCACATAACATACATACATTACTAAAAAAGTGGGCATAATCAATGAGGTTATCTCATTTGTATCATGCTATTTTTAAAAAAATCATATTCTACCATATGGTTAACAATAACCCTGATACTAGAACTAAATGGTCGTCCAGTGCTTCCAGGTTTTCCATGATGGTCTAGATTTAATTAACTCAACTATTCAACTATTAAATTACTACAATCTCCACAAAACCCCTTTCTAAAAATAAAAAAGATAATAACTAAATACCAGTTTTGTATATGAATAAAACCCTCATTTCCTAGTCATAAATCAATACAATATAAACATTTGTATTCTCAGGAATGCTGTTGTTAGAATAAACAATAAGTACTAGTTACAATATGAATTGTATTCTTGACATAATTTACATGGTAAATTTATCAATGCAAAACACTGGATACTAAATAAAATAACATTTGAAACTTAAAGAATATCCCACAATATGTATTTATAGGTGCGATTGTTTCTTTGTTTCTGAACTAGTTTCTTAGAAAACATTTATCTAAATTGACAATTATCCAAAATCTGATCTCTAATATAAGTATTCATATCAAGGTTCGAACTGATAGTTACAAATAAATTGAACGTTGGGTAGAACGTTTTTGATAAATATATTAATTATTATATCCCAATGAATAGAACAATTGTATTTCTGACGTTTTGTGACTTAATGTTAGCCATTTCTTCAGAGTAAATAGATAACCGACAT